ATTTTTTTCCATAAATGACATTCTGCAAATACACTTAGAGGAGCTCTGCAGATACACTTTTTGCCGGCTTGGAATTATTCTTATTTTCATCCTACTTCTTCTTCTTCTTCTTCATCCTCATCCTCAGAAGAAGAAGAGGATGAGGATGAGGATGAAGAAGAAGAAGAAGAAGAAGTAGGATGAAAATAAGAATTCCAAACCGGCAAAAAGTGTATGTGCAGAGTTCCTCTATTTCTGACAGTTCTCTGACAGCTTCTTCACATGTACAGCGGTTGAAACATCTGTATCCTAAATGGAAACTAATAGATACAATTTGTATCTATTAGTTTCCATTTAGGATACAGATGTTTCAACCGCTGTACATGTGAAGAAGCTGTCAGAGAACTGTCAGAAATAGAGGAACTCTGCACATACACTTTTTGCCGGCTTGGAATTATTCTTATTTTCATCCTACTTCTTCTTCTTCTTCTTCTTCTTCTTCATCCTCATCCTCTTCTTCTTCTTCTGAGGATGAGGATGAAGAAGTAGGATGAAAATAAGAATTCCAAACCGGTAAAAAGTGTATGTGCAGAGTTCCTCTATTTGTGACAGTTTTCTGACAGCTCCTTCACATGTACAGCGGTTGAAACATCTGTATCCTAAATGGAAACTAATAGATACAATGTTTCAACCGCTGTACATGTGAAGGAACTGTCAGAGAAATGTCAGAAATAGCGGAGCTCTCTGCAGGGACACTTTTGCCAGCTGATCGGGAAAATTTTGATTCGCGCACCCGAAGTAGGCAAAATTTCGGATTCGACGCGAATCGAATATTTCCTGAAATTCGACTCGAATTCCGGTTCGCCTGGTTCGATTCGCTCATCTCTAATAATGACCTAAATTATAGGGAAGTCTCATATATATAAAAGGGATTATTTCCCATAAGGATCACATGGTATTTAATACTTAAGAGAACATATAATATTGTTAGTAAATAATAAAATAATTTTATTGTCTTTTAAAAGATTTTTCACAGTTTATATATATTATTCATATTTCAATGCCATGATTATATTTAATTTCTCATGCTTTTAATATGTTTAGGATTAATTAAAATGTAGTTACAATTTTATTTTATTTTAATAACTTTTTATTATATATTTTATTTTATTTCTTTATATCAATTGTTATTATCCTTTCAAGTCCGTAGGGTGTAATGAGATGAAGCAGAGTAAAAAGTATCTATAAATAGATACAAAATAATTCATTTGACAGCACAGGTGGAAGAGTAGGATTGTTAAATGCAATTTGGCCCCAAAAAGATGGCCACGATTAGGAACACTACAACAAGATGGCGCATATCAGCTATATAAAGTAGTATGGGTGAGGTGAACATCCAATCGTATCCCCCTGATGAAGTCACGTGGACCTGTGGCGCAACGCGTAGCGGAGGGGCTCTGACGTCACCACACACCCAGAACGGTTAGTATAGGTTGTGTGCGGTATACACACACGGAGGAGGCTTTTTTTGTATTACACAAAGCGCAAAATGTTTTTTAAAATGTGAGTGCAATGTTGGGCACTAAATAAGGTAATTTTTAAACAAGGATAAGGCACTATATCTCCTTTCTTTTATACATTTAACATGAAGGAGAATCTAGGAGAGGTTCGGGGGGACGGAGCAGAAATCCCACAGCACAGCAAGGAGGGAGAGATCCCAGCAGTCATATCTGCAGACAAGGAGAGGACAAGGATTACCAAGGAGCTCCCAGGGGATATCCATTACCCATAAAATCCCAACGGCTCAACAAATGAATACATCAGGTTCCTATTGTGGACATAAAGTGATGTTTGCCTAAATTTAATATTAGGCTTACATGGAGGTGAGCGCATATTATAGTCATAAATAGGAGCACACAAGATTCCGAAAATATCATTTTGGATCACATTAAGGATTTATGGGACTGTCACATTTATTTAAATATAGACTTATGTATTTATTTGAGTTATATCACATTTGAATTATTCATTATATGGCACTGTTGATTATTATTATTATTTTTTTTCATATTAATTGAATAATTTATCACAATAATTAGATAATTGTATTTATGGTAATTATGGAATAAGGCACATTTGATTATATATTGAGCAGAGGATTTAAATCACTGGGAAATAATTTGTGATATATTATTTAGGTTTTTAATTTTGGAGCGCAACATTGATTTATTTAATGATAGAGAAAGAATACTACACATCAACAGCATATCATATGTTACCAAAATCATCTGATCATACTGACAATAGCCCCAATGCCACAGGACTTGTAGGGGGTTTCATAGGGTGGCTTAATAGGCTGGGATCCTGGAGAAAAAATGCCTGCTCCTGTGTGGATAGGGATCCTGTAATATAGGATTCCCACTTGCGGAGGTAATGAGCCACTTTTGAATAGGTCGGGGAGGTGATTAGATTAAGTCTGTCAAGGCGTAGTAAGGAGTTAAGATCTTGTTTTATGTCCATTAGCGGTGGAGGACAGTTGGAGACCCATTTCCGGAGAATGGCCCATCTTGCTATTAAGAGACATGTAGATATCCAGGGTTTGTTATTTCTGATAGCTGACATTTGAGAGGAAGAGAGACCAATGGCTGGCTGTTCCACGAGGCCGAAGAGGAGCGGTAGCGGATCAATGGGTAGTTGGTAGGTAGTGATGAAGGTTATGAAGTGATCACTTGCTTCCAGAAAGTGGATATAGCAGAGCAGAGCCAGAGTCTGTGGTGCAGTGACGGTTTGTGACTACCACAGAGAGGGCAAGTAGACAGAGTCGGGTCATTCTTTGAGTAGAGACAGGGCATGTAGGCACAGTGAAGGATCTTAAGTTGCTGCTCCCGCCAGAATTCGTTATGGTTGAAGGCACATGTGGAATTGAAGCCTAATAGTAGTTGGTCAGCTGTCAATGCATTATAGAAGTCTTTGACCCTGGATTTCACAGCATTATATGTCTCGAAGGTAAAATGTACATAAAGTATGCAGCGCTGAATGAGATAAAAAAACACTAAAATAATGCCATAATAAAATCAAATGTGAGGTTAGCACAGCTAGAATAAATAGATTAGTATGAAAAAACTGTAGGTTTATACTGTAGTATCATATGTCAGATCAAGGTGCATAAAGTGACAAAGGTGCCAAAGTCTATCAATCCATGAGCATATCCAAATAACAGGAAATCGTGACATCTGTGGTATAGAATGTGGTTGTAGATTGCACTAACCAGATAGCGCAAATTAAAGCGCGTTGGAGTAAAATGACCTACTCCTGGTCACTGGAACAGGGACACTGCCAAACAGGTGGTCATCAATGCAGCAACCTCAGGATCCTCTGTATCGTCTCCAGGTGTAACATCTCCAGCCCCCAAGGGGGGTATGTGCCTCTCCCACGTATCACGAATCTCCTTCTGACAACAATCTCCAGGTGTAATGTGCTCTCGTATATCCGGAATCACCTTAGGGGCTCATTACTTCCTCTTCTCTGCCAGCCCCGGCCATGCTGTCACCACTTACCATCCTGGAGACGGTACAGAGGATCCTGAAGTTGCTGCATTGATGACCCCCTGTTTGGCAGTGTCCCTGTTCCAGTGACCAGGAGTAGGTCATTTTACTCCAACGCGCTATAATTTGCGCTATCTGGTTAGTGCAATCTACAACCACATTCTATACCACAGATGTCCCGATTTCCCTGTTATTTGGATATGTTCATGGATTGATAGACTTTGGCACCTTTGTCACTTTATGCACCTTGATCTGACATATGATACTACAGTATAAACCTACAGTTTTTTCATACTAATCTATTTATTCTAGCTGTGCTAACCTCACATTTGATTTTATTATGGCATTATTTTAGTGTTTTTGTATCTCATTCAGCGCTGCATACTTTATGTACAGTTTAGCTTTTTACCAGGAGACTGTTTGAGGTTTGCCTTTTTATGCTAGCGGCTAGAATATTTGGATCCAGCGCTCGTTGTATTTCCCCGCTTTCTTTTTCATACATATGTCTCGAAGGGTTTGGCGTATAGAAGATTAAGAGATCTATATATGTTTGATATTTTATACTTTTGAGAGTTCGCCAAGACATCGATGAATGTCGTATGGAATCTAGTAGATTTTAGGTGCAATGGAGTTGACAAAGTTCCTTACTTGCAGCATATAAAAAAAATTATGTGATGGTAGTTCGTAGGTTTGTAGGACACTGCTAAGAGGCTTTGGGGAGCCCGTAGAGGTGTCATATAGGTGTTGTACCAAAGTTAACTCATGAGCTAGCCAGGTTTCATAGGCTTCATATGATTGCAGGGGAGAGAAGGATGGATTATGATGGATAGGAAGAAAGCCATGGAGAGACCCCCAGTTTACGTCTGACTTCCCTCCATGTAATAAGGGTATCGCGGATGAGCGAGTTATGTTTTAGATGAGGTGGAAGAGAGTTTACATTTGAATGTAATAGGGCTGAGAGATCATAGGGACGTGCTATGGCAGGTTCAATATGATAATTGGAGTATTTGGAGGATTGGGTGAGCCATTCTAGACATATAATATAGAAAATAGAAAATATTTAGGGAGTGCTATACGCGGATGTTTGCCCTTCCATAGAAATTTTGAAATTGCCCGATTTAACTTTGTTATGTCACTGTGTTTAAGGGCCCTGCAGGGATCATTGGCTTGCTTTACCACATACCTTTTCGTGGAGCGGGGGCGGTGTCACCCGGTGCGGCACGCACCCCCCACACCTGCCTCAGGACGCCACTGCCGCTTTCTTTGTTATTTCAGAGATAGAAAACAGAAATGGTAAAAGAGGAAAAAAAATAGAAAGGCTTATATTTCTGACAATATATACTACAGCTATCTTGGGCTTATGTATATAAATGGTAAACAATGAAATTGCCAGTGCTGAGTATCTCTTGCAGCCTTGTGGTCAGAAAGGGGAATTGTCATAATGTTTTTGTATGGCAGATGATGATTTTTAATCGCTGTGTCTAGTACAGTAATATGTGGCCGTGTCTTCCACTTTCAGATTTTCTATTTGTAGATATGCTGTGTTTATGGACTTATCAGATGTTATTGTGAATCTTCCCTGATATGAAGAGGAATAATCTGCATCTCCATCAGCAGGATCAATCCCCCCAACCCATGTCAGTCCTCTCCCTGGAACCTGTTGAACCCAGTGTATATAGTAGCTGGAAATCTGAAATCCAGATCCTACACAGGACATCACATTCTCTCCAGGCTTTTTAACTTCTGAATTGGACTGAATGAGTGTTTCTGACATGACTCCTTGATAAGAGAAATCACAATGTTATGCATGAGACATAAATTATCATCAGATCAGTATTATTTAACCATTTCTTAACCTGACTTACCGAGCAATAAGGACAGACAGGTGATATAATAAAACAGAAACATGTTGTATTATTTGCTCTCCAACTCCTCTCAGTTCTGTACAGACTTCAATTTTATACTGAGACACTACGACCTCTCAGCTTTTCAACCTGACAGATCCAAGATCAGGATGACAGATCCAAGATCAGGAGGAGCGATGATATTTGCATTAGGAGTGGAAGCCATAAAAAAGTTTCACATCGTTTCACTGTAGAGTATTTTCAATTATCTTTAAGTACACAGATAAAGGGGATCCTTTTTATATTAATAAATCTTATTTATTTCAGGTACTTATATAGCGCCATCAATGTACACAGCAGTTTACATATATATTGTACATTCACAGCAGTCCCTAACCCTCAAGGGGCGTACAATCTAAGGTCCCTAAATTATATTCATTCATACACGTACTAGGGCCAATTTAGACAGGAGCCAAATTACAGCTAATCACAAAAAAAAAAAACCCTGAATGAATCGATGTCATTCAGGTAAATGCTTGCTTATAGCAAAGTAATTCTTTGCTATAAGCAAATTGTGTAAAAAAAACAAAAATACTGATCACTTCCCCAAAGTAGTACAATGTTACTATGGTAACATTGTACTACTTTGGTCATAGTGAAATATGAAAAAAAAATCTTAAAAAAAGAAAAAAAAGTAATAAAAAATTAGAAATAAAAAAATTTAAAAAAATTATATATATATTTTTTTTCATACTGTCACCAGTCAGTGTCCCTGATCACCGCCATGCCAGTTATATGATGACGCTGTACTGCACTGGTGACAGTATGTAAAAAAAAATAGTGAAAATAATTGTTTCATTTTTTCATTTTCCGAAAAATTATGACAAAAAAAATACAACTTCAGAAAACTCAGCATGCCTCTTATGAAGTACGTCGGGCTGTCTACTCTGCAAAAAGGGGTCATTTGGGGATATCTGTACTGTTCTGACATTCTTGGACCTCAAGAAATTAGATTGGCTGTCAGTACTTCAGGATTGATCAATTTTCAGATCTATACCATAGTTTGTGAACTCTATACCTTTCCTACAAACTAAAAAAATACATCCTAATATGGGTTATTTTCACCAAAGACATGTAGCAGAATACATCTTGGCCTAAATTTATGAAGAACAATTATTTATTTGCAAACTTTTATAACAGAAACAAAGAAAAACGTGTTTTTTTTTTCAACATTTTCTGTCTTTTTTTGTTAATTTAGCAAAAAATAAAAAACCCCAGTGGTGATTAAATACCACCAAAAGAAAGCTCTAGTTGTGTGAAGAAAACGATAAAAAATTTTAGTTTGGGTACAATGTTGTATGACCGCGCAATTGTCATTCAAAGTGTGAGAGCGCTGAAAAATGAAAAATGACTTGGACAGGAAGGAGGTAAAAGTGCCCTGTATTGAAGAGGTTAAACAATGCACTCCCTGTGTGACAGATATCTTATCTCGGCGGTTATGTAGCTAGGCTGAGCGGAATACAGATTTTGCTCTATGGATCATCTACAATTTTTTTACATTTGATAAAATAATTTTTACATTTTTATCAGTATCTCACTACAGTCACACTTAGTTTTTATCAGTATCTCACTGCTTAAAGTGAAAGTATACCCAAAGTTTTTTGTTCAGTTTTGGATAGAGTAGGGAAGGGGTAAAACGATGGTTACCTGATTGAACTTAGCCCTACTTTTGGTTATACCCCTCTTCCTTTCATGGTCTGGATGGTAATGACCCATTTTTTGGTAATACATACCTGACTGCTTAACTTTGGTGATAGTCTAGTTTTTAGACACATCCGTTTATGACTTACAATATGAATGTTGACACAAACTTTGCAGCTCCCACCTCCTATTCCTCACCCCCTCTCACTGTTTCCCTTTTTCCTCTCGCTCCTCCCTCTCCTCCCCCCCCCCTCTCTTTTTTTTTTTTTTCTTCTCTTTCTCTATTTTGACTCCCATCTTTTTCTTCTCCGTTCTCTTTTTCTATTCTCTTTTTCATCTCTCCTTGACAGGCTTCTAGTCATCTATCAGGTTTAGTCGTTGTTGCTTTCAGGAATACTTGGTATGTGGATAGTTTATCTCTTCTAGGTTCGTCAGCGGTACTCACGACATCCACACTTACACCACGATTTTCTCTTCGTTTCACGAAAGCGTACTGACTTTGGTGTAGGTTCCGAGTGTTAACTTCCTCCCTGCACAGATTAGCACGCCAATACGTAGTTGATGGAGGTATGCTGCTATTACCCTCTATATCGCATTATAGTGACACTTGAGTATTACAGGCCTATCTTTGTCGTGACCTGACGTGTTTATGTTATCCACAGTGCTGCACTCTACCTTGTTTCTTCCTGTATTTTGTTTTAGGCTATGTCCATTACCTGATTGATGCTTTGTGTTCATTTTCCTTGCAAAATGCTGTCACTTATCAATAAACATTTATAGAACAACGATGGTCAGTTTATTTTTTGCTGCCTGTGTCCAGTTGGGGAGAATTTCTTTTACTTCCTGTGGTTGAGACAGAAAAGGAAGTGAGAGTAAACCTCTACAAAGTGAGGGCTTAGACAGATGTACTGAAAACAAGTGCCCCTACCTGGAGATTTCTCCTCCACCCTTTTTCTGGGGACAACTGTAAAATGTTGGCTTTCCCCCATATATTTTATTCAGTGACTATATGGAACAGTATAAAGGGAGAGGTTTGTAAATTGAGAGGTATGTGGGATGCAGACAGCAATAAAACTTGTCAGAGGTTTGTAATTTTAAACAGAAACAATTGAGTACTGTCCGTGATACTTTTTTTATTTTGCACTAACATACAATTTTGAGGACAAGCTTTCGGGGTATGTCCCCTTCTTCAAAGTCCAAGCAGTACTAATCACAATGTTTAAGCAGAATGTTAGAAGAGATGTGGGGGATGACAAAAAAAAAGAGGCTAGAGATAAGACACAGCAAAAGCAAAGGGGGGAGGGGGGGTTTAGACAACACTCACAGAGGGCGTCATGCTTGAGGTGATAGTCATAAAACTGTTGGATAATGATTGAGAAATCCCATGTCCAAATTCAGGCCGTTATCTCTTGTGTCAAATAGAATTATCATTCTTAGTTCAAAAGTTTTTCTTTCCTGATTTGAAATTTCCTTTAAGAACTAAAACATTGAAGTCTTCCATAATGTGGTCTGGTTGTGTGAAATAGTGTCCCACAGCTGTGCAAAAGTCATCTTCTTTATGTTCCTTGATGGTATGTCTGTGCAAATTCATCCTTGTTTGCAACGTCTGTCCTGTTTCGCCAACATAAGATCCTTTGCTGCATTTTCTGCACCGAATAAGGTACACAACATTACTGAAGGTGCAGCTGTATGATCTGGAGATATTGAAGATCCTTTTTGAGTGTCTGACACTTTTTGATGGATTGATTTGGTTGCACAGTTTGCAGCGTTTCTTATTGGAGGGTTTGCTTCCATTATTTGTGACCTCATAATCAGAAGGAAGTTTCCTACTGATTAGTTTATTTCTGAGGTTGGGGGGTTGTCTGAAAGCCAGTATTGGTGGTTGCTGGAATATTTCTTTCAGAGTTCCATCCTCTGTTATGATGGGTTGTAAATCTTTGATTATTTTTCTTCCTTCTAGTGCTGGGTTGTATGTGGTTACTAGAGGTACACGGTTGTTTGTTTTTTTCTCCTTGTACTGAAGTAGATTTTCCCTTTGGGTTCTCAAGGCTGTGTTTATGCTGGTGTTGATAGTTTTGTCCTTGTAACCTTTCTTATGGAAGGAGTCTGCTAGTGTCTCAAGATTATTAAGTGTTCTTGCATGGAAAGACCACTTACTGTTATCTCACATATATATTCTTATTATTATAGCCAAATTTACCAACCTAACTCCTCCCACAGTTTTTACTCTACATAGACAGTAATATACCGAAGCGTGCGGATTGTTCCCGATTGGTGTGCTATTTCTTTGTGGAACGTTTCGCCAAATGGTTCACGAAATATCAGCGTTTTTGTGGTGAAATTGGTCCCAAAAGAATGAATGGCGGAATGTTCAAAACTAGAGTGGGAGCTGACAAAAGCTAGAGTGGGAGCTGAAAAATCAGGACATGATTTCTAAACTGCCATCACTCTCTCATTTTCAAGCCCACCTACACAAATCTTATATCAAAACGTCCAGCTATCCCTGCTGCCTCTAAAAATGCCCACGGCTAAGCCATAGTTCTGATAGTTTTCACAATATGACCATTTGTTTGCAACTCACGCCGCCCATTGACATTCATTGAAACTCCACTCTAGCCACCTCAAATTTGAAGGGCAATTTCTAAACTGCGACTGTGCCTTCATTTTTAATATTTCAGAGACATACTATGCATCAAAATGTAGGTCTGGGTCTTGTGATTCTCACAATATAAAGCTCTTTGGTGTAGGATTAATAATTTTTAAACTACAACCGTTTGAAGATGGCAACCGCCAGTGAAGTGAGCAAGTTGGAGCAGTTTGTTTTTTCTCTGCCCTTGCTGTAGAGTGAGTTACCATAGGAATCCTGGTGTGTGAGCAGGCAGCAGAGTGACAAAAGCTAGAGTGTGAGCTGAAAAATAAAAGTTGAAATGTTCTTCTCACTCTATAAAGCTTGCCATGTGCACTTTTTAAATTTGATCAATCAATTGGTTGTGTAAAGTTTACTATCTTTACTCACTCCAAACACTCCATAAAGTTACTCTGCCCACTCCAACCTTTTCACAGTTACTCCAGCCACTCCAACCACACAACAGTTACTCCAGCCACTCCACCCAGTTACTCCGCCCACTCCAGTTGTAGAATACTGGTGGACGCGAGACCACTTTCCCCAGAA